TATCTTCCATTTTTTTCTCTTCTTTTCACTAAATGCTGCAAGCATGGGAAATATTAAAAATGCTTCTAATCTTGTCACATGGACAGGCATCTATGGGGAAAAAATTTATATTAATAAAGAAATTGAAAACTATCAATTTAAAAGATTCATCATGTATGTCTCAATGCATGATACACAGGGCTAGCGCTAGGCATTTTTCCATCTAATGCAATCTCTGTGGGTCCTCAATTCTGCGTCCTAGTACCTCTCTAAATTCCGCTCCTAGTGCCTGTCCTAAATTCTAAAAGTTTTGCCACTTCTAGTTTATTTTACTCTGTGCGGCAATAAATTCTAAAAATTCTGCCACACTGGCTTTGTAAACGGCCCTGATCATACATCATTTCATATTTATTCTCTATGTTCATGTTGCTAAATAAATAAAATTAGCAGCTCCTTCTATACATTCTGAATGTATATAGTTTTTAGAATAACAGAAATCTGTAATTAAATCCAAAAATTCTAAAATTAAGAGGAACTTTATTGAGGAAAGAAACTGAACACATAAAGAGAATGAAAATTATTCTTCAAAGATATGTACAGTTATTATTATATGAATTAACCATTTCTTTATAATTTCAGCCTTTACTATAACTTCTTTCCGTTTCTTCGCCAGAATGCAACCAGATTAGATAATATTTAAATTGAGGTTTTGGGATTGTAAGACGCAGCGTCTTTCTGGCCTCTGCTTTCATGCTGCATTAGATCTTGTCAGCTCTGGTAATTTGTAATTATTTGGCTTTGTGTTAGTGCTGCTGAAATTTGAATTTATTACTATGATAGAATTATCGAGACAGCTTATAATTTGAATAGTCTTTGACTTCTAGTCCACATTTTTAATTTGAATTTTACTTTTCCTACCACGAGCTGTAGTTTATTTTATTAGCATATAAATGTACTTTTATTTTCCAAATTCTGCTTAAATATTAGAGGTTTATTTAAACCTTTATCCTACTTTGTAGTTGATTTCAGACATGGCAATAATTTGCTTCATGTGTGTCAGGTATTTTGGACTATCTAACTTTTATCAGATCAAGTGAAACTGTATAGGTTTTCTGTCGAGATTTGACAAATTAGGAGGTGAAGCAGAAATTAGTGGATCACAAATTGATATGAATTAATCAAAAAGATGCATAATTATTTTGAAGTGTATTTTGCCTATAAAATACAAAGCTTTTAATGTATAATTATCCTAATATAATTTAAGAATCAATTATGTGTGTTTTAAACTGTGAAATGTCATTAGTTTGCTTTTTTACAGATTTTTTTTTAAAAAGCTTAATAGTGACCATGTAAATCTAAAATGACTAAAGATATCTAGCTACCTAATTTTATGGTTTGTAACTAATCGCTCACCATTAAAAGTTATCTCTGCATATTAAAGCGAGTCATTGCCTTTTGTTAATCCTTACTGTGGTCACAAGATACAATATAAAAATGTAAAAATTAGTGTAACAAAACAACTTATTCCCTCTGGTGTTTTAATGTCTTATTGGAACCTATTAACTGGGCTACAACTTTAGTATCTCTATAACAAAGCTACATTAACTGTGCGAGGCAGGCAACACATAACCTAACTTTAAAACTTATCAACCATGCCAACATCAGGCATTCAGGTCTGCTTTGATGAGCAGGTCTCTTGCTAGGCATGCAGCAGTGGTGGCAAAAGTCAGTCTTCTGTTAAGGATCATGCTGATTTTGACTTTACTTTTCATTTTAACCTACGCCTTTTGACATAAAATTTGCCTGCTATTTGTTAAACCTCTAGACTGATTAAGTATATGATGAAATTAAACAAACAAAACAAAAAAAAAAAAAAAAAAAAAAAAAAAAAAAAAAAAAAAAAAAAAAAAAAAAAAAAAAAAAAAAAAAAAAAAAAAAAAAAAAAAAAAAGAAAAAAAAAAAAAAAAAAAAAAAAAAAAAAAAAAAAAAAAAAAAAAAAAAAAAAAAAAAAAACAGCATAAAGCTGTTTTTAAAATGTAAATAAAATGTCACTAATCTTCTTTAAAATAAAATATGTTCAGCTATTATAAGTGTAAAATATTTAATGTTATTTGATAATTTTTTTTGTTGTCAAATTTTATTTTATAATTAATTTATTAAATTTAAATTATGTTTAATGTAACACACCCTACTTATGAATCTGTTTTATTCTTAGGATGGTATTACAGAAGTAAAGTTCAGTCATAGATAATGTCTTTAATTGAATTATTCAGTTCCATTTGCTGATAGGTCCTTAATGTTTTTCATTAATGGTCCTTAAAAGTACATATTACCAGGTGCAAAAATGTGTACGAACCCTGTATGTAATTTTCTCATCCCGTGTGTCTCTTTCCCCCATCTTTTGTGTAACCAAGGTGTTCTTATTTTTAATCTTTGGAATCTCTTTAGAATTTAATTGCTCTTGAAAAATAAATAACATGGTTGAGAAGTTATTAAATTGTGTGGCTGTTCATTATATTAATAAGCACTTTTTAAAAATCCTGTGGAATTCTAAGCTCTTTTGTTTTATTTTGAAAACTGAAAGAGCAGTAATATTATGAATGTTATGTTGTTAGAAATTTCTTTTACAGAGTGAACAGTTTTTCTTACATAGTGATATTTTGCTTTAAAAACTTTTAACTTTTCTGTGAAAACTATCTAGTCTGTAACCGTGCTAATTATTAAAAAGTATCAAAAGTTTAGTTTTATTTATTATTCTATTTAATTCATAAACATCAAAACAGCAGTTTTAAAAACTCATACTCTAATGTGTATACTTTAATGTGCATCTTAAAACCTTAATACAAGGCTGTATTGGTATTACAAAATAATAGGATATACACCGATAAGCCAAAATGTTATGACCATCCCCACATTTTTCAATGAATTCATCTGGATGGCATGTGATTAAGTGGGAATAGTATTTAACTGCTGCTAGGGAAGGTAAGGAATCATTCTTGCACTTATTTTGCTAGTAATGGGGAATGGCTGCTGATCTAAGTGAATTTGATAGAATGCAAATTGTAATGGCCCAAAGACTTGGAACGAGTATCTGCGAAACTGCACAACTGATGGGTTGCTCATGATCTGCCGTTGTTAGTATTTATGTAAAGTGGATGAATAATGCTGAAACCCTCTGTAGATGCCAAAGTGTTGGGCATCCTTGCATCTTCAAAGAAAAAGGATGTCGGAGACTGTCCCGCTTGGTATAGCAAAATCAACACCTGACAGTTTGATACAATGCAGGTCCAAGTGCAAGTCGTGTGTCTCTGTTAACCAAGCGTCATTGTCAACTATGCTTATGTGGGCCCAGAAACATCGAGACTGGACAAATGGATATGTGGAAGACATTTGAATGAATCATAATTTCTCATTCATCACATCAGTGGTCGTGTCAGGGTGTGCCATCTTCTAGGTGAACAATTGCTCCTTCTTGTACAGCAAGTCATACTCAGGCTGTTGGGGGGTGGTATTTTGCTTTGTGGGGTGTTCTCATGGTTGGGTCTAGGACCCTTAGTTGTGGACTGTCTGAACATTAACTGAAGACTAATTGCACTTTTACAGGGCATGTGTCCTCCCAATTGGAATCTTCCAGCAGGACAACACCTCATGTCACCAAGCGTGAATTGTCTTTGAGTGGTTCACAGAACATAAGGATGAATTTCATTTAATGCCCTGGCCAGCTTACTCACCGGATCTTAACCCAATGGAGCACATTTAGGATGTCATGGAGCGACAGCTTAGAGCTCAAGCATCACAATGTCGGAATGAATCGAAATTGCTTCACTGCTACGTAGATATTTGGTACAACCTGTCTTCAGTCTTTTACCAAGAACTTGTGGCATCGATGCCGAGGCGAGTTGCAGTTGTTTTCCAGACCAGAGGTCACACAATGCAATATTGAATAGGTGACCATAATGTTTTGGCTCTTCAGTGTATTTTCTGGTAACTAGCTGTACTTTCTGAAAAGGTTTCTGGTTAGTAGATTTATTATGAAAATTGTCCTTTTCTTGATTATGTCTTCAGATAAAAATTTAATGCTGCAGTAAACTTCTGAATTACTGGGGTAATACTGAGGGCATTGTCTGTAATTAACTCAGTCATGATTAATGCTAGTAAAAAATACAGGAAACAGAAATATTCCACAATGTTATTAAAAGAAAAATACTATTATCAATTTGCATGCATTTTCAAGTTTATTCTTGAGAATATATATATTCAGTTAAATATATTGATTAAATCAGTACTCTAAACTAAAAGAATATATGATAAAAACAGAAGAATGATCAGAAATGAAGAAAATAAGTTATAAGTTGCACTAAATGTCAGTATTTTCTGGGGAACTTGTTCTCTCAGATTTTTCTTTTCCTTTTTATATTTTCCATAGGTACTTTTGTTTTACGCTGATGGTTTGTAATAGTAATTTTTTCATTATTCCACAATGGACAGAATTTTTTTCCCCTTAGATGGAGCCTGATTAACCTGCAGCCTAATTAATTAAGAATTGTTTATATTTTGGTTGTAATAAGTTAATTCTAAATCAGTGACAGAATCTGAATGTAAACTGGAAAAGAAACATTGCAGTTTAAAATTTAGCATTAGGCAAAAAAGCAATTTTAGGTTGGCATAGATTTTAAATAAAAGTCTTTATTTGGAGGGGGATCTAGCAAAAAAAATTTTTTTCTTTTGAGTAAGAGAGATATAGGAATGATTGACCTTGAAATGAATAGTTTTATTTATTTGTATATAAAATGAATTGTTGTATATATATATATATATTCTGCTGTTAGATTTATTGCATAAATTTTGAATTATTTTCCTGAAGTTTTATAGTTTTATATTTCATCTTATGTTCTTCTTGTGGTATTTTAAAATTTACATTTTAAACTTTTTTATCAATTTAATTCTGATTTTTTAGGTTAAACCAAGTTTGTATTTACTTACATTTTAAAGTGTTTATCAATTTAATTTGAATTTTTTAGGTTAAATCAAAGTATGGGTGATATGCTGTTTAAACTTGAATCTTTAATTGATGTGGTGCAGGACCAAAGAGGAGAAATAGAGGGTTTAAAAAGTGAGATAAAATTATTACAGCAGGACCGAAAGGGTACTGAAATTGCTGATGAAAGTAATTTATCAAAGAAGTTGGATCTTGTGATATCTCAACATCTCATTCCTGATTGTATCCTTTTAAAATGAAATTTTTTGAAAAAAAAAAAAAAAAAGATATCTGTAAATTAGCTGAAAGCCGTTTTTAACCTTTTGAGGTCAGGTATTTGACACCTGTAAGTTTCTTTAAAAGATGAGGTTTTTCATAATTTATGCTTCCCCCTTTTCAAGAAGTCCCTTGCTGTTTGCAACGATGGCCCTTTTAGATAGTTTGATTTAGCCTGAAAGTTGTGCATTTCCTTTACAAAAGGAAGGAAGAACATGTAGGGATTATTGTCTAAATTGTTAGATGGCTTGATGAAGGAAAATTTAAATATGCAGTTGATTCCAAATCATATTACTCTGTGATCCACAGAAGAGAATGTATATTTCCATTAGAGAAAATGTCATTCTATTTCTTCATATTATAAGACATACCTTATATATGTGTGTGTGTGTGTAGTGAGATTTTTTAAATAATGATTTTAATTTATCTGACCAAATTAACCCCTTCGCGCCGACTGTCACGTCTACATGCCAGCAACGAACACCTCACTTCCCGGCCGACACACAGGCGTGCCAGAGCATTTTCCCGTTCACTACCAACTGTCACGTATTTGTGCCAGTGTCCTGGAACGTTTTAAAAATTGTAATTTCTGCCACAAGATGGCACTGTATGTCCATATGGTTTCAGATACATGTACATTAGACCTTCTACTCGAAATGAGAGAAGCATGACTCACATACACATGTTTTTGATTATATAAACAAAAGAGGAAATAAATGTTTCCGAATGGCGTTGTTTATGACGTCTCTTTAAATCGCACATTATTTGCACATGGTAGTTGTTTATTTAAGTAGAGAAGTTTTATTTGCGCTAAAGCGTTGGGTATTTCGGTTTGCAGTTCAGTTTTTAGAAAATAATTAGATCTTGCTAGACATGAATTCTTTCTGTTTTTACCATTGCAATGTCGAAGCATTGAAAATGTTTAACAGAGCATGAAATAGCAGAAATGATGCCAAATATTTCAGATATTGATTCTGAAATTCTGATATTCTGATATTGATTCTGAAAGATTAACTGAAAGACATTTTCCAAAACTTTGTTCAGAAGAGACTGATAAGAAAATGAGACGACGATGCTTCGTTTGTTGTTCACATTCCCAGAAAAAAAAATCCTCCAAAAACGGCAAATGAGTTATTACGAGTACAAGGAATGTAACATAGGACTGTATGTAGATCCCTGTTTTCAAATTTTTCATATGAGAAGAGAATTTTAAGTAATATATTTAGTTTTCAGATGTATAATGATAAAAAATAAAGTCATAAAATGGTGAGTAATGAAAATAAAAAATGTGTAAAATATGCATTTAAACAAGAAATAAGGTAATTAAAGTATATAGTATAAAAATATCTATAAAGCATAAGCCGTTTAAATACTCTATAGAGCATTATTAAACAATGCGTTGATACTTCGGAAATTTCATGGATTTATTAGGCTTAGTAGCAAAAAAGCCCCCGGCCCTGGACAGACGCTCGCGTAAGACACTGCCGGCCTCCGCGATGAGCGTGCGTTTGCGCTACCCGGCTCGAAGGGGTTAAGTGCCTTTATAAAGTAAAATTTTTCCTAAGGAAGGAATGGTTAAAAAAATAAAGGATTAACCCTGAATAAATTATTAAAAATGTAAATTGTATGGAAATGTTGAAATTTAAATTTCAGAAAAGTTAAAATTTTAAGTCTAAATGTTAAAAATATGTATGAAAACATAACGCTTAAAGAGCAAAAAACTGACAAGGAATTAAATTATATGCAAATTATAGTTCAAATGTGATTGTGTTGTACATTCTTCTTATATTTCATTTTGCAAATTTTTTATTGCAAAAAAAATTTCAAGTCAGAAGGGAGAAAATTGTGCGGTTTATATAGTTTTTGGAAGAATGGAATGAAATTACAAGATAGCTAGTTACTATCTTCAGTTCCTATTAGTACGATTCTGTGTTTTATGATGTTACATTATTTATCATTTCACAAACTCTTGTAACAGCTTTTGTATTTCTTCTTCAGTCAGTACTGTTTTAGTATATTGCTCAAAAATTAAGCAAAATAACTCCAAAACATCTCCCAAAAATCTGAAATATTTCAAAGAAACACAAGTCTCTATTTACTATTTATGAATGAGGTTATTTTCGAATCCTGAATCTGCAAGAATGATAGAGAAAACCGGATACTTAACACTGAGGCGTTGAAAGTGATAAGCGATTAAGACTGTAGGCACATCAAACTTAACAGTTCACCCTCAAACTTTCAGCATGGGAAATGGAAACAAGACATCACCATTAAAGTGGACATCCCCATCTTTTCAAACAAGGAATACTAAAGCTAATATAATGGCCATCCAATCCTGAAAAGTTTAAGCTAATTTAATTGGTTTTATTATTATTATTAGTCAGTTATGTTATAAGTAGGTTATCATTTTCTTTAAAAATGTGTAATATATTTTTTGGGCTTATGGGTTTTGTGGTATTTATTATTTAAATTCAGTGATATCTAGTATAGTTTATGGTTCAAAAAAGGAATTCTTATAGTTGAAATAAGGAAAAAATTATTTTATGTATGAAAAATTTTAATAGTTGAAAAAATAAAATGGCATGTTTAGAGAATAATGAGTCTCAATTTAATAAATGTATATCTAATATTACCCTTTCTTTTCATTCAGTACATAAGCAAGTATAATGTTTCTTTCATGAATACCTCGGTAAGATTTTCCATTATTGTTTCAATTACTTTATAGTATTTTAGCTCACACTTACCGGGTATGCTCTAATTTTCTTTTAGTGACATGAATATTTGAAATTATGATTTTTTTTTTTAAATTTGTTCGTACATTGCTTTATTTGGATATGCAACTCATGAGCCACAAACAAACCTTTTTTATTTGGCTCACAGGTATGATGCAATAGTTTTATATTTAAAATATAATTTTAAAGTTCAGGATGTATGCTACCAAAGAATATACACAGACTCAGCTCAGTGTTGATAATAATATAGTTGAATGGTATTCATATTTACTGCACAGATGTGTGCAAATTTTTGCATTTATTCTTTCAGCAGGTACAGAAAGAAGTGCAAGGATACACTTCAAATTTGAATTTCAAGTATGAGTAGTTGAATAATGTTTTTGTGTGTGGAATGTGGAGCATGTCATTGAGAAGACATTTGATAGATTGTGATAAATGCCATGTGATTGGGAGATGGAAGGAAAAGCATAAAGGCATAGTGACATTTGATAGATTGTGATAAATGCCGTGTGATTGGGAGATGGAAGGAAAAGCATAAAGGCATGTGAAGGATCATGTGAAGAATCTGGAAATGATTTAAAGACACTAGTGATGTATGAAGCGAGTCAATAATGTAACACAACAGACACTCATAAATTTAGGAATTATTGCTTAAAGGAATTGACAGCCCAGACTGCTAGGGAAGCTACAGGAAATTGACGATTCAGCTATACCGTGAGTGACAGACTGCATAAAAGAGAGCTGTTTGCAAGGAAACCCATGACTTGTGCCCCACTATCTTGGGCTGTGAAATGTTCTTGGCTGCAGTGGGGCAGAGATTTTTGTGACTGGAATACCATGGACTAGAGCTGAATTCTCTTTACTGAAGACTTCTTTTTGTACAAAGAGTTATGACATAGTACAATTTGGAGGGACCAAAACACATGTAATAAGTCAGAAAACATCTTTGAAATGTATTGGTAAGTTCATAGTATAAGCAGGCATAATTTTGAATGGTTGGATTAACTGACACATTTTGATCAGTACATCTATGAATGCTGAAAATGCAGAGATAAGGTTCTTTATCCATATGTTAAGTTCTTTAGGGTTGCAGTCGGTAACAATTTCCTCCTGATGGATGACAGATATATGCCCCCATCCTAATGACTAATTATCTTTAGAACAAAAAATTTTTGGATGAAATGGCATGCATATTCTCCAGATTTAAATCCAACCGGCTGCCTAAAATATTTATAAAATATATATATATATATATGCAATACTAAATCCAAAATCAGATATGGACCCCTGTACTGACTGTCAACAGCTCCCCCCCCCCATACTTTACGCATGCAGATTTGATACTTTTCCATAGTAAAACATGGAGAATCCTGATGTACTGCATTTTTATTTATTTGCGTAAAAAAAATTAATAATTTAATTGTGTTTTTTGCTTTTAAATCCCTTAGTTTGTTTTTACTATAGTAACAGTGGTCTGAAACTGAAGTAGAATGCATGATATAAAAAGAGCTGATGGGCCACATTTTTTGTTGAAAAAGTTTTTGAGCAAAGTAAAAATTATTTAAAATAAATTTAAAATTGTGTTTACTAAATATGTATTAAAATGTACATCAACAATAATGATTGTATTGCAAATGTTATACTTTGTAATTCAAATATATTGACAACTAAATATTAAATTCTTATGCTGATATTTCTTTCAAATGATTTAAGCATGTTTAATTAATTATTAAATAGTTTAATTTAAACTTAAAGTAAACTTTTTAACTTTTCAGAGAAAATTTATCAAGTAGGAAATAATCAGAATGCAATTTCGAAATTCAAAATTCGGTCTTCGAGGTGCCTCTGTTTGGGTAAAGAACTAAGTGTATTAAAAATTTGGTTGCTGTGGGTGTAGCCATTTTTTCACAGTGCGAGGAATATACACATAGGTCTTTCATTATTTAATAGTGGAGATAAAATGTGTGGGATGTGCTAGGATGTTGACTTGCTTCACTGCAGCTCTTTAGCTTTTATCACTGTCCAGGAGCTTTAAGGTCTCTGTTCAGCATGAATGCACTTTATTGCTGTAGGAACACTTAGACAGTCTAATACACAAGATGGGAAATCACTGTAAAACTTGCATTTTGGTCATAGATGATTGCATACTGTATTAATTCCTTCTATATATCTCTAAAAGCTATAACACCTATATTTCATATGTTCTTACTTAAATTTATTTTTTGAGTAATAGTGAAATTCTGTATTTTGAACATGTCAAGTATAACAAAGATGTTGGGCAAATTCCCGAAATTATTCAAGTTACGTCTTTAATTTTTCACGCCATGTTCTATATGTATATATGTAAGCATATATTTATGTATACAGAATTTAATTATGGCATTCTATAGTCCGCCACATATCACTTATGTGTAATTCAGGCTCATGTGAACTCGGTTCAAGAAAATTCAGGATGTCAGATTTAACGGCATTTTCTTTCTTATATGTAGATCAATTAAATTTTTTATTTAAGATGAGTTTTACAAATAACATATTTTGATTTTAAAATTAATTAGTTTTATGAATTTATTTTGAATATTCTGTGTGTGTTTCAGGACTTTTATTGTAAATACTGACTTTCAGGCTCTGATAATTTTGCATTTTAGATGAGTTCTGATTTTGGTATACATTTTATCATCTTTTAAATTTTAGTTTATGTGGTTAGCATGTATAAAGAATTTATTTATTTTCAACATTTCAGGTACTTGAGTTCTAACTTAAATGTACCTTATTGTCAGCTGGTTTGTTTGCATTCTATGTAACAAACATACTTTTATATTGGTTCCAGCAGATATTAAATCTTAAAAATAGCATCTATAAAGATTTTTCTGGGATTAAAAATGAAAAATGAAGGAAATGGCAAAGAATGCCCTCAGTTGCTGTGTTGATCCCTCAGTTGCTGTCAAACCCATCGTGACAAATTTTGTTGTAGTTGAGATGTTGCAACACAGTTTCACCAAGTAAAGAGTGAGAAATGTCTGAAAACACAATGTGCAATATGTTGAGAGTTACTCGTCTATAATGTAAGATTCTGTTGTTCACTGCAGTCTTCTATGATGAGCGATGGCCGCCCATGTCGAGCCTTATTGTTCATATTTGTTCATCCATTATTGAATTTATTGGGATACTGTGTAGTCGTTTGAGAGATCACACTATTTTCTCACATTTCTTTCATTCATAAAGAGAAAAAGAATTGAGCTGCGTGGTGGAAATATGCGAGCAGTCATTTTTGTTTGAATGCATTGACCACCTGTCTTAATAAATTGGTCACAGCAGATTATAACACTGAAATTCTGAAGCTTGTGAATAAATACATCAAATGTTTAAATGAAGGTGATGATTATGTAGGGAAATAAAGGAAGCTTCAGATATGTAACAGAGATTTTTTCCCCGCAGTAAATATTGTGTTTTTAATTTTTATAATTAAATTACCTTTATTTTCTGGCTGATCCTCATGTATATAATAAGCTTGGATACTTTTAACAGAATTAACAGAAATTCAGTGCATCTCGACTCTAAAGCAATTTATCCATTACCAGGATTTCCTTATGTTCCTTTTATATTATTATTATAAGTCTACAGTATTAGGTAATATCTTATGTATTTACTCACTTTTTAATTACATTATTAAGTACAAAAATGTTTTTCTCTCCCCTCTTCCTTGTAGTCTTCACTACTGTAAAATGACTTTTGGCCCATTTGAATTGCTGAGTTTGACATGCCTACCGTAATGTAATGGCAGAAATCATGCATTTATTTTTATTTATTTTTCTCTGATTTAAAAGTATACAAATTGTATTAAAAGTAATTTTGCTAGTGGATATAATTTTTTTCTATACATAAAACATTTTGACGTGTTTTAGCAAAAAATTTCTTCCCCCTCAAAAAAATGTTTTTATTATATCTTTCTGCAATGTTGATGATACTGATGTTATTAATTGAAATCTCTCTTCCACAAAAATCTCTGCTTTTCTGTATCCAGAATTAGCTGATGAACCATTTTAGTGTATTTTAATTAGAATTATAATAGTTTATCTGAAAATTCTAGCCCTTTTTTTCTAATTAGAAATTACTTTGTTTTTTCCTTGCTTTGGGGAAGGGCCAGAATTTTCGAATGAACAATTATAATTAAAATGGTTCTTTGGCTAATACTGGATAAAGAAAAGCAGGGCTTTTTGTGGAACAAAAATTTCAATTAATTTCAAAGCCCCCTCTCTTCTGGTGAAGTGACATTGAAGTTGAATTATTCTTCTGTTTAATTTTTTGAAGAGATGTTTTGCTTGTTTGAAATGTCTTGGTTTTTACATTTTAAAATTCTTTGCTGCATTTATATGATGATTATTTGAAATTTATTAATTATGAATTTCAATTCTGGTCTTTGTGAAATATTAGTTCTAAATTTCTTACTTTATGTCTTTAATAATGATTTTTCTGCAGATTAATGCACAAAAATACTAGGCATGTTTGTGTTTGGTTTTCAAAAGAATTGTTTTGTAATTATGTTATATATATATATTTAAAAAATATAAATTATTCTTTAAATCTTGTTTAAATAATTCCTAAGAGCATCTGTTATCTAGTTATTTATATACAAGGAGTTCAAATGTCATGTAAAAAATAGAAAAAATGTGAGCAAAACTCAGACACACATTGCCTATCATCTACAAAATTCTCTAGTCTGCTCAACCTTTGGTTCTAAGGTATGTGAATTATCAAAATTGTGTGTCAGTATGTTTAACTACTCTGATAAGTTTTTTTTTCAATGTGGTATTAAGAAGTACTGCCTTAACATATTACCCTAGATGCCAGATTAGAGAATCTAATTCTCAAAAATGCAGAAGATAATCGTCAGAGATCTGAAAGAGAACTGGTCATTATGTCTGAGGAAGTTTCCAGTACTTTCAGCAAGCGGCTTGAAAGTATTCTGAAACAAGAATTAACAAGCAACATAGTACCACGTAAAGTTTTTTAAAATAATATTTTAAACAAAGAAAATGTGAGGGATATGTCACATGTGATGAATGATTTGTTTCATTTTTTATTTCAGAAATTAATAGGGCCTTGGACACGATTGCTCAGAAGATGCATATTGATTTCACTCAAAAGCTTACAGCAACAGATACTAGTTTGCGAGATAGTTTCCTGAAATACTTGAAAGGAAAGGTAAATAAAGACATTTAAATCATTTCCTGTTAACCGTAACCTGTTATTGTAGATTTATATTAATGTTTTATGTTTAATATAAAACTAATTTATTATGTTATGTAGCCTTTCATGGACTTTATGTCACAATCCGTTGGTAAATCTCTTGAAACAATAGTGCAGGCTGCCTGTAAAGATGCTTTTCAAACAAGTGTTGTTCCGGCTTTTGAAAGATCTTGCCATCATCTCTTTCAGCAGCTAAATGAAATATTTAGTAAAGGAATTTCAGAATGTAAGTAAAGATTGTTAAATTCAAGCATCATTTAATTAAGAAGTTTGTTATTAGTTTAAGAATTAATTGGGAGGAAATAATTAATATTGGAGGAAACAAAGCTAAAATGACACACAAAATTAGGTGAATTGTATTAGCATTTTATGTAGCTATACTAGAAAAGAACACCTGTCCATTTATGAAAAAGCCTTTTTATTTTTCAAATAAAAGCAAATGATACTTATGCAAACTATTTTGCATAAGTATCATAACTGAAAGAAGAAATTAGTTTATTTGATCTTGAAACAGTATCAAGTAAAAGGTAGATTTCCTTTTTGTAATAGTGCCAGAAAACTTCCTTATCTGCTTTAATTGGCTTTCTGTTCCAGACTGATATAAAGAACAGCTTTTGGGGTTTTGGATAAATAATTGTAGGCAATTTTTGCCAATTATGATATATACATACTGATCAAGTTTGCATTAATTATTTAGAGCTGATAATGCATTTCACTACTTTTCCAAGCAGTCACAACTTGCATTTTGCATGTATATAGGAAAAGATTAAGTTTTTGAACACTCTTCATATGTACTCAGCGCATATCTGCTGTAATATTTCTGAATGTATTTCTTGGACAGAATTGCAAGATCTCCTGATAAGATTATTCCATTGGAATAAGCTTAGAACTTTCTAATAATAATAATAATAAAATCAAAATATTCTCTAGAGTGCATGATGGGAATACTCTGTACTTATGGATGTTGTAGGATAATGTGGAATGAAAATGATATAGCTTGAGGATATTCTATATTCCTTGGGGCAAAAATGTGAAAATTGCAGTTAGATTAATTACTATTTCATATTCTTTATTAACAATGTAAAATATTTCTATGTTATAATTTTATTATAATTAATATTGGGAATAAAGCAGGATTTATTTTCTCTATAACAGGGGTTCTCAACCGGTGGTACACAAGAGAAATATAGGTGGTACAGAAAGAAGCAAAGTATTTTTAACTATTAAATTCAAAAATTAAAACTCCAACATCCTGACTATTAATATTGGGAATAAAGCAGGATTTATTTTCTCTATAACAGGGGTTTTCAACCGGTGGTACACAAGAGAAATATAGGTGGTACAGAAAGAAGCAAAGTATTTTTAACTATTAAATTCAAAAATTAAAACTCCAACATCCTGACTGATTTTTTCTCTCTAACATTTGTAAATTTATGTGATCTGAGCTTTGTTCAAGAGTGATGTTGGTACTAAAGGTTTTCAGTTTTTGTTTAGATAGTACGCGCTAGTCAACCTCTGTGAGAACCTCTGCTCTATAATATACCTACTGTCTCTCTTTGAGAACCTCTGCTCTATAATATACCTACTGATACTAGCAAGACCAGTGTCCTAATTTATAAGTCAGCAAATATAGCAACTCTGTACTTGGAAGTTTGGCTGCTCTGACATCCCACTTCAGCCAAGAATTCCTTGTTATTTTATATAGTGTCTTTATTATGGAGTTTTTTTATGTATATATTTGATAAAGCAGAACTGCATTTATATTGATAAAAAATTTAAATTTGTTTTCTAGAATTTTAAGAAGCTTCTTGTTTAAAAATTGTTTGTGTTGGTACTTTCTTTTTATCCCATCGACCGCTTAAGTTGGCTACCATCAAACCATGAAAGTCTGTAGAGATTCCGCCAAAGTTGTGGCAATTGTGCCACATTATTCTAATGGAACTTATGCTTCTATATTTAATAAACAACAAGTATTTGTCCCATTTTGTTTCTAGTCTTTGTAACAAGGCTTTCATTGATTTTTACTGTTTTATTAGATCTTCCAATTTTACCATAAACTTTATTTAAAAATGCTGTAAGTACATGCTTTCTGCTGGCAATTATTTCAGTCTATTACTATTCTGTTGGCCTTATTGAGCTGATCACATCACACCCATTAATACATAAATTTTAATGGTAGGATTTCATTTTTTTTTTCCCCCCAAGACTTTCAAAATAATTCTCTGCTTGTTATTCTGTAGAAAGCACTTACCAGATTTTAATATTTTTTTTTTTCAAACTGGAGGAGCAAAATGCAGCAATAACAGTCAATTTATATCTTTGTGCATGAAAGCAAAGGGTGGCTTATCAAGAATCGGACGGGGTTCCGTCAGATGAAAATGTGGATATTATGAGTGTGTTGTGACATTACACGTAACCATAATTGGCACTTAACCCCACTGCTTGGTAACAGTTTCATGGTCAACAGAATAATACATGAGTAACCTTTTTTAAATGTCTGAATATTTAAATTAAGGTTCTTCTTCTTCAGTTGTACTACAGCCCATTATAGGCCAAGGCAGTCTCAACAGGCTTCCTCCAATTCATTCGATCAGTTGCTACGATCCACCAACAAGTGATTTTTAAAGTCTTGAGATCTGCCTCCTTGGAGTGCCCAGCCTCCATATAGAATCCTCTAAAGCAGAGTACCCATCTATAACTCCAGATGCTGGGTCCCCATTTTAGTCACCTGTTACAACATGCATGAGCTATGTTGGGACTATTCTTTCACAGCCGGTCACCATATGGGTGTTAAACTAAGGTTACATATTTTAATATTTTTATGTATTTACATAATTCATATTTAATACTGTAACACTGAATGTGAAAGAGAAGTGAATTTTAAAGAAAGTTTTGGTCTTTGATTTTTTTTTTTTCCCCCATGGCAGGAAAGTTTTTGTTTTATTGTCATCTTTATTTCTCATTATTCACATTAAAAAGTTTAATTTTACAGACATTCAAATAGTTGAGAAACGAGGCCAGATTTGCTGCTCTGCTGTTGAAGCTGCCTCTGCAAATCTGAAAGAAGAAGTCACAAAGCTTCTTGGTGCAATGCAACAAGCTGTACAAGCACAAGCAGCACAGATGGAAAACAGGAGTTTAGAATTAGTAAAGTAAACTATATTTCTTATTTCCATGTAGTCTTTTTGAAGAAATGCAGTTCACACATGAATTACGTAGGTTTGAATTTAACAGTTTAACATGAATTATTTTAAGTAAAATATTAGAGACATTTTTGAAGACTCAGGGCAATTTGGGGAGGGGAGGGGAAAAAAAAAAGAGAGAGAGCATTATAATGTCTGCTCGTGGGAGTAATTTTATTGAAATAAGTAGAGCTATTTTCTACTGCCTGATATTAAGATGAGGTTACAAGTTATCAGTATTTTCTTGATGTATGTTACTGGCTGTCTTTGCCCTATCAGTTTGTCAGTTGCAGTAAGGTGTGATCTACAGTTCTCAATTAGTTTTGTGTTTGTTAGTTTGTGTTAGTTATATGCTGAAAATTTTTACAATAGTTCATTTGTCACAAAACTTTTCATTTTGATGTCTAGTAATATTTATAACCTGTAATATAAAATTAAAATTTTGACAGTCAATTTATTATGTAAATGATGTGTCTAAACTTACAGTGTGACTGAATAAGCTACTGTTATAAACGTATTTTCTCTAAATTCCTTTCCTTAGTAATGTTAGTATAGGAATGTATCATATAATGCTCATAAACACACACAATACATGTTAATCTGCTGCTTGTGTAACCAGTAAGGCTTTTAAATAGATTGATTATTGTTAAACTTTCAAGCAGTTAAGAATTGTATGTGAATTGAAAATGTGCAGATGTTGGCATTCCTAAACCCCACATATTTTAAAAATCAACTGAACTAATTAAAGCTTTCTGTAATGTTCAAATTTCATTCAAAAACCATGAAATCTCTGAGATAAGAAGGATAATCATTCTGTAAAAATTCTTATAAAGTGTGCTAAATTGTTTTTAAAAAATTCATACCGTTTTACTTTTAGGATGTCAAATTTGTTTCTTTTGCCAAGTTTTGTCACATATTTAATAATCTAATTCAATTTTTAATTAATTTTTTGGAGGGGTAAACTTTACTGAACATGAAAATGCCCCCCCCCTTTTTTTTTTTTTTGAAGTAAGATCATTCTAAATAAAATAACTGTGCACTAATTTTAATTAGTCAACCTGTGTTGTTATTATAGACAGCAAGAAGTTCTTTTGAGTAGCTTACGACAAATAATGCATGAGGAGGTCCGAAAAGCCTTGAGAGAACAACAGACATCCGTGCTGAATTCTCGTTGTGTGACGCCAGCTCCTCATTCTGATCCTCAACTTCAGAAGCAGCACTTGATGCAGCTTGTGAAACAGGGAAATCTGGATGAAGCTTTCCAACAGGTTAACTATATTAAAATATTTATTGTGTTCAGATTACAAATGTCATAAGCTATCATTAAAGAAATATTCAAAATTCATATTAAAATGTAATAAAAATTACGGTAATTATTATACTTGTTATTTCTTGAGTAATATTAATTCCTTTTTTCTTTATATATATTTTTGAAATCCTTGAAAGTGTTTGTTGGTTTTATAGGCCCTCTCTGCAATGGATGTTCAGTTGGTGTTATTCTTATGTGAAGCTGTTACTCCAGATCAAGTATTTTCACCTACACCTTGTCCACTGCAGCAACATGTGCTATTATCTTTAGTCAATCAGTTATCTGCTGATTTATCTTATAAAACTGAACTGAAAATCAGGTATGTATTGGATGCAATTCTTTTCATTATTAAAACAGTATCTTATAGATTTGTTTCGGTATTATAGCTGCCGGTTGTGAAATATGAAAACAGATTTTTGTGTAAAAACTGTATAAAATCAAGAGATTTCAAAAGAAACTTCAAATTAACTTATAATTCACTTTATTCAAATTAACTTATAATTCACATGATTCTGGTTATTGAATTATTAATGTGATTCTGATATAATCTAATTTTTATGTTTCTTGGTTAATTTCATTTCATAATTTTCTTAAACTTATATACTGACAAAACCCTGAGTATGGAAAAAAAGCTTGTATTTATCAAAGTACTTTTAAATTTGATGAAAATAAATTCAATAATTAATGTATATACAATTACGGGGATAAGCTTAGTAATGTAGGTACTCTTCTGTTATGGGGACCAGAATCAGAAATGTATGCACATGTGTATGGATGTATGTGTGTACACATGCATACATGAGCACACACATTTCTTAATCCGTTCCCAATAACAGAAGAATACATGCAATATACTATTTATTGATGCAAGATAAAATAAAATACAAATATTAACTGATTAAATATTGGCTGAATCTTGTAAAATTTCTATAATATAATATAAATAATATAAACTAATTAAGATTCAATAAAAAGTGATGAGAAATATTATGCTGAAAATCATTAGGAGTGAAAGTTGGAATTTGCACAAGTTAAGTTTCACGAAGAGCTGATAAATATTTTTGATAATGTACACTGCTGGCCATTAAAATTGCAGCACCATAAAAAAGGCAAATACAACAACAACAACAAAAATAAATAAATAAATAATACACTACGAAAAAAGAAAGGGGGCGACAGTTTTTTGCATTTTTCATGTCTCGAAAGCATGACTTAGATATTAGATTTATATATAGCATTATTCTAACATAGGTATTTTGACACAAAATCGGACTATTTTTGAAATGACATGCCATTTTTTTCCATATTTCGATTCCATCACTCAAATTATGTTGGACTACTGAGTTTTAAAATTGCATGAGTAATTTTTTAAAAATTACTTCTCAAAATTTTAGCTCTTCAATGTTAATTAAATTTAGCATATATTTATTAATACCTTGTTTTTTATTAAACTTTTTTTATTCTTCCTTTCACATTTTGAAATTTAGGTTGATTCCAAATAAAATTCACCCATTTTTTATGATTTATTTTTAAAATTTGTGTTTTTAAATAATTTTTATAAATTTTTGGAAAAAATGTTGAATTATAACCTATAAAATTTTTACCATCATCTTAAAGTAGGTGTATTTCTTAGCATACCTGCAAAAAATTAAGACTTTTTTATTCAAAATTTTCTATGATATATACGAATTTACATATTTGTGCTGTTTGAAATTTGGCATCTTTCTTAATAACGCCAAATGCGGTTTATGGATTTTTTACAGTAAATTGCCACTGTTATGGAAAGCTATGGCAAACCCGGGCTATCTGCCGTAAAGGAGGGATGCCTTCGTGAAGAACTTTTGAAGCGAAAACAACTCGTATACAAGTTACACATGAGGGAAACCACGAAAACAGCAATGTAACCAGTCTGTTCGGCGGGATTCGAAACCCGGAGCGAACTACCAATATTCAGCAACTTTACCGCTCGGCCGTTTGTGGGCTGTTTTGAAATGGAAGGCGATAAATTTATTTTAAATTAATGTCGGAAATACCATTATGTTTCGAAAAGTTGGATGCTTTTTTAATATATTTGCAGAATGCCTGAAAAAAAAAGAGCAAGAAAAAAATTAATTTTTCTATAAAATATAGTTTTTTTTTTTTTTTTTTTTTTTTTTTTTTTTTTTTTTTTTTTAATTTTATGATATTTGATTCTTGCGATTTCAAAAATAAAATATTTGACTAAAATATGAATAACATTTTAAGAAATTAAATCTAGGATGATAAAATTGTGTAAAGCAATGGGCGCAATGATAAAACTGTTTAAAGCAATGTTTGAGGCAAGTTATTCCAAAGTTAAAATGGCGGATTATATATCAGCTCTCTTATTTATATATCCTTTCTGAACGGAACATTGAAAGGCGTGTCAACCATGCTTTACTGTATCTTCTCGTTTTAATATATGCAGTTTTCAAACGCATCGTGGTCTGGGTCACAAAGCATTCTTCCGAAAGAAATGCAATTCAAATAAATAAAATCAAATTCTGGAAAATTTATATTAAAAAATATATTTAAAATGTACAGCTTGAATGAATGCATAGAAAATTTTAAAATAATTATCTGAAGATACAATGCAACACAATAAATTACAAGTCTAAAAATTAAAAAATTAACTAAAATAATAGCTATGACTAAAAAATGTAGTACAGTCAAATACCGAAAATCCGCCAACCTAAAATCCGCATTGCCTCTCAAAATATAAACATATAGTTTATAAGTTCTGGAAACCGCAACATGGAGTAATAAATATCGAAGAAAAAATACTTACTGGATAATGGCATCATAAGTATTGAATAATAATGAGTCATAACGGAAATACCAAATTATTGACATCATGATAAGAGTTTTTTCCCTCTAATCTGCATCGAGATAAAAATGCAGACGATTAACTCAACTCTTTCAAGTTCGCACTTCACATTGTTGTACTTTCTGAGCTTTGCTGTTTCACAAGATTGTTTAGTAATATCTGCATTTTTTTTATCCAGATATTTTGTGGATATATTAAGGATATTTTAAGTTTCAGCACAATACAATGACAGATAAGAAACGCACTCGTGATTTTACTGCTTGCAACTTTGAAAAACGTAAATTGCATTGACGGTAATGAGAAAAGTGGAAATTCTGTTAAAGATGGAGGCAGGTGCTACTGCTCGGTTTATAGCATAATCGTATAGAATTGCCACAGGGATTGTGTATGATATATGGAACAATAAAGAAAAGCTGTTGAAATTTTACAGCAACGGTGATTATAACACCGGAATCCGAAACCAGAAATCTTTACATGAGGCGAAATCGGCAAACCTCGATGCCGTCTTGTACAACTAGTTCCAGCAGCAGCGGAGTGATGGGGCACCTATTTCAGGACTACTCCTGAGAGTAAAGGGGAAGCATATTCATGCTGTTTTAAAAATAGAGGAGCCTAATATAAATGAACAGTATAATCAGTTCATATACGTAATAATAATTTAATACTTAATATAATTATTATTTAATATGTATTATGTAATAATATTTAATACTTATAATAATTATTGTATTAGTGTATATAATTTAATACTTATAATTAATTATTGTATTAGTGTATATAATAATTTAATACTTATAATTAATTATTGTATTAGTGTATATAATAATTTAATACTTATAATTAATTATTGTATTAGTGTATAATAATTTAATTAAATGTATTTAATATGCTTTATTTATTTTGCACTTTTAGTCTGAATATTATCTTTTCTGTCCTGAAATCCGCACAATCTCTGGTCCCATGTGTTGCGGATTTCTGGGCTTGTCTTGTATAAAGAAAACTTTTTGAAAAAAAATTAATAATAGATGATTTATCTTTTATTTAAACTACGCACTTCGAATAAGTAAATAAAATTTTTTAAAACACTTATTTGAAAGAAACCATGCAATTTAAACAATTTTTTAAAATAACATAAAATTGTAATATAAGGAATATTATTTGAAAGAAAGAACGTGTGACTTTTTTTCCTCTCACGCACAATATAAAAAGGAAAATAGGTAGCCGTATATTAAGAAGTTCGCCAAGGTGCAAACTGAAAAAAATCGCTAATAGAAATTATTGAATTTCTCTGTAAATTTCATGCCAAATTTTACAAAATTTAATATTTAGACATAATTTGAGTCGTAGAATCGAAATATATAAAAAAAATTGGTATGGTTTTTCAGAAAAAGTCCGATTTTTGTGTCAAAATACCTATGTTAGAATAGTGCTATATATGAATCTGATATACATCTTAAGTCGCACTTTTGAGACATGAAAAACACAATTGGAATTTTGAAAATCGGCCCAGTAGAACAGGAGATATAGAACCGTCCCCCCCCCTTTTTTTTTTTGCACGCAGTGTACATAAACAGTATAGCATGAAGACAAAATGATTAAGTTTGTAGGTATTTTTGGGGTTTACAGAGGTGCAAAATCAGTAGAAACAGCTACCATCCCTGGTAGTTAAAGCGGCCCTTGCCCAGTTAGGCCAACGCCACCTAGACTACAAAGCCAGAAAGCTCCACTTAGGCTATCGAAATTACGGTAGCGCAACAACCATATAGTTTCGGAAAGAACTTGCAATCTATTTTTTTTACTGTTGACGTTTTATTTTAATATATTTATAATTACTTTCTCTTTAAGCAATCTTCATTTTTAAATTTAAATCGAATTTTCTTTAAAATAAATACTAATCAGTTAAAGTTACATTTTCAGCACAGCAAATGTTAAACTATTTTTTTCTGAAAGGTGTTATAATTATTATCAAAATTATATTATGTATTTTTCTCATACATTAACTATACTTTCACCTTATTTAAAATATTTTAAATAATGTCAGACTTAGAACTTTTATTTTGATAACACAATCTAATTTAAAAGCATTTTTAAAGAAAAAATCCATTTCATTGAAACAGAAATTCAAACTACTACTCAGAATCACAAAACTAATAGAAGGATGAATACAGTTTGAAAAAAAATAATGCATCATACAATTAGTTTTAAGCAAAGGATCTGATTTAATAAGCAAGATTAAAAATGTGGAATTAATTCAAAATTATTCGATTTGTGGGATTTTACACACATTTTCTACAGTGATCTCATAGGAAGTACAAAAACTGAAAAACATTAAATTGCAATTCAAAACATAAATTATAATGATAAAAATAGCTCGTTTTGAAATTTAAAAAAAATACAAGAAATAAAGTTTTTGGATTCATTTACAAGAGCTGGAGTAAAATATATCTATAAAGAGCTAATTATAATTAAAAATA